AAAAAAAAAAAAAAATTAAAAAAAAAAGACAATAAACTATTTGTAAAAAAAAAAAAAAAAAGAAAATGATTAGGGAACAAATAATATGTATAAGCATATCCAAATCTACTCTCTCCATTCTGAATGGCTTAGAATATTTCTGTTTTATGATCTAATGCAGAAACAACAGAAACGCTGCACTGAGTAACCTACACTACAGATTCTATTAATTAAATTACCCATTAACATCTGTGTCATTATTAGAAATTGGAAAATTAAATTGAAATCAGCAATTTATTTTGAATTTTTTTTCTTTTATAGTTTATTGTCAAGTTGGTTGAAATCAGCAATTTTTAATTGGGACCACATATAAAGTGTGTTTGGATTTGTATTTCATGGGTAGGAGCAGGGGAGAATGAGGTATGTACAACATAAACTGATAGTGCAGTTATTAGGCTAATGTGTAGTAAAACAGTTTATAATAAATATTAGTTTGAGAAACTGATTAAGGTACAGAGTTGAAATCTAAAAGTAATACCACATTGTATCTGGTTCGTGGTGACCACAATAAATGTTTGTTGATTCTGATAAAATAAATAAATAAATAAATAAAGGCAAGAATCTTAAATAGCTATGCTAATTATGCTCAAAGATGTAAAGGAAATATGCTTGTAATGAATTAACAAATAGGAAATCTTGACAGAGAAACTATGATAAAAAACAAAATGGAAATCTTGGAACTAAAAATTATAATATCTGAAATAGAAAACTCATTGGACAGGCTTAACAACAAACTATGAGGACAGAAGAAAGAATAAGTACACTTGAAGGTATATCAATGAAAGTATTCAATCTGAACAACAGAGAAAATAAAGCATTGGGGTTGGGGGAGAAGAGAGCCTCAAGGAATGTGGGAAAATATTAAAAAGTCTAACATACATGCAATTGAAGTCCTAGAAGGGAGAAAGCAAGAGGATGGAGAAGAAAAACTATTTGAAGAAATAATAGCTGAACATTTCTCAAGTTTGGTGAAAAACATAAATTTACAGAAGCTCAGTGATCCCAAGTGGGATAAATTCAAATAAAATCATACCTAGGTATGATAGTCAAACTGTGAAAAACCAACGGTAGAGAGGGGCGCCTGGGTGGCTTAGTCGATTAAGCGTCCGACTTTCGCTTAGGTCATGATCTCGCGGTTCGTGGGTTCGAGCCCCGTGAAGGGCTCTGTGCTGACTGCCAGCTCAGAGCCTGCAGCCTGTTTCAGTCTGTGACTCCCTCTCTCTCTCTGACTCTCCCCTGCTCACGCTGTCTCTCTCTCCTAGAAATAAATAAAACATTAAAAAATGTTTAAAAAAAAAACCAACGGTAAAGAAAACCTTGAAAGCATTCAGAGAAAAAGAATACATTGTATATAGGAAAACAATAATACAAATATCACTGACTTCTCATCAGAAACAATAGAGCCTAGAAGGTAGTAGAATGCCATTTTTAAAGTGCTGGAAGAAAACTGTCAACCCAGAATTCTGTATCAAGTAAAAATATCCTTTAAAATTGAAGAGAAAAAAAAAGAAAAAAATAAAATTGAAGAGAAAATAAAGATATTTCCAAATAAATGAAAACTAAGAAAAGTTGTCACTCACATAGTTGCATTACTAGAAACGCTAAGGGAAGCTCTTTTGACTGAAGAGAGATAATACCAAATGGGAACTCAAGTCTTCAAGGAAAAAAGAAAAGTACTAGAAATGTTAAGTATAAAGTTCTAATTTTTTACTCTTAATCTCTTTAAAATACAATTGCTATGTAAATAATTTCTTTTATTCTCCTTCAGGTACGTTTTAGGGAGGGTAGAGGGAAAGGACAGTTCTGCTCTGAAGAGGAAATCTGCTAAAGCTTACAAAATGGCATCCTTATTAAATTTAGAATGCTCAAATCTGAAAAAAATTAAGTAACTAATATTTATAATCCTTTCCTTTTCAGATATAAAACCAAATGTGGAACTGAAAAGCACTCAGGAACAGTCTTTGCCCACAGGTAACATCAGGTCTTTCTAGAAATATACCTTTACTGAAATTACCAAAGAAAGATGGATATTCTGATTATAGTAAAAACACTATAGAAATGTGTTGGGAAGAAATGTAGTTTTCTCTTTCTGATACAAAAATAACTCATCCATTTAGAGTATAAAAAATATTTAAACATTTTTTAAATGTTTTATTTATTTCTGAGAGAGAGAGAGACAGCACGAACAGGGGAGGGTCAGAGAGGGAGATACAGAATCTGAAACAGCCTCTGAGCTGTTTCAGGCTCTGAGCTAGCTGTCAGCACAGAGCCCAACACGGGGCTCGAACCCACGAACGTGGGGCTCGAACCCACGAACCATGAGATCATGACCTGAGCCGAAGTCGGATGCCTAACCGACTGAGCCACCCAGGTGCCCCTAGATTATATAAATTATTTGGCATCATAGATCCGAACCTAATGTTGACCACTGTTTTATTTTTTCCTTTAATTATTTTTAACTGACTAGTTTAAATAAAGACAGTTTTTGTTGACCAATGTAGTAGCTTATGTTTCATCAGCTTGTGTTTTTCACTCTAGATAGTGGTCAGCAAACTTTTTTTTGTGAATGGAGAGATAGTAAATATTTTAGACTTTGTGGGCAATATAGGATCTCTGTCACATATTCCTCTTTGTTTTTTACAACCTTTTAAAAATGTAAAAACCATTCCTACTTCGTGGGCCCATATAAAAACAATCCATGGCTTGTGGCTCTCAAGCCATAGTTTGCTGACTCCTGCTCCAGAATAAACTAGAGACACTTAAAAATAATCTATTTCCTAAAAATAACTTCTATGTAGATGGATTAACTCACTTTGTTTGGATCATAATTTGTGCTATATTACAAAATTAATTACTGGAGTACCCTTTGTTATAATCAGTTATAACCTTATATTTTAATTGAACCTGTACCTCATGTTAGTTGTTCAGGTGTGCACTTTATGTTAGCCATTTTAAGCTTGAGAAAAGTAAACTACTATTTAGAACAGTGTCGTAGTGTTCATAGAGTACATGTTACAATATGCTGAAGTTAGGAGCTTAATGTGTTTATAAATCAAAACATGAATCCATGATAACCATATTTTCAGCATCTCTTAGTCATGGATTTTATGAAATATGTTTCTATTTTACTCCTGTATTCCAGCACAAGTCCTGCTCCATCTGTTCGGTCATGGATGCAGGTGGGACTACCACTGCAGAGTTTCTAGTCACTTCTTCTACTTCACCTAGCATAAATGCCACAGAATTCAGTGTCTTTGACTATTTGTTGGATGTAGTAGGTAGTCAGTAAATATTTTATTAAACATTAAAAAGGAGTTTGATAGAGGGGCAACCAGATTGGTTAAGCGTCCGACTTTGGCCCAGGTCATGATCTCACAGTTTGTGGGTTCAGGCTCCATGTCAGTTCTGTGCTGATGGCTTAGAGCCTGGAGCCTGCTTCAGATTCTGTGTCTCCCTCTCTCTTTGCCCCTACCCTGCTCATGCTCTGTCTCTCTCTCTCAAAATAATAAACTTTTAAAAAAAAGTTTGATAGAAAGCGAGTAAGTTTTTAGTTTATTTCTTTTGTTAACATCTTTTTAAGTTACTATGCTTGTACATGAAATAATACCAGTTACGTTGTTCCTTGTTTTCTAATGTCTAATATTATCAGTATTTATTGTACAAAAGTATATTTCTGTTAAACTTGATATTTAACAAGTTTGCTGTTTATTTAAGCATGCTTTTATTATGTCTTCTCCCTTTCACTTATGAACTCTGGTAATACTTTGTATTTCCCTTACTCTCTTGTCTGAGTCTGCATTATAGACTTGCATTATCTCTTGTCTGAGTCTTGCATTATAGTTGTGATATTGTCTTATCTATATCCGCCAATTATAAGCTCCTTGAGGACAGGAATTATTACCTATTCATATCTCTAGGCTTGTCAGCATTTAGTAAATGCTCAAAGAAATAAAGGAACTCGAGAGGCAATATGTTTTCCACAGAATCACATTTATAATGTGAACAGAAAAAATAGGATTTGATATACAGTTGCTTACAGGTTTCCTCTTAGGAAAGCATCTTCCCAAGTCAGATTATGCAAGGATTTTTGAGCTCAGCATTTCTCATCACTACATAAATACTTCTTGGTCATAAATAGCAATAGCATCCTACTGAATATTGTGTGACATACCGAAAGAGAGAGAATTTCTATCAGGAAGGAACATGAATGCATTTTAATTCAGGTGCACCCTGAGTATATTTCTAAATCTCAAGAGTTATTACATATATTCCACTTGGTGTATATATAAAAAGGATATTGTCTATCATTGAGAGATTAGACTGAAATGGGAGTCTATGTAATACATGTTTATAAAAAAAAACCTTTAAAATTGGACTGCATAGTTAAAATTCTTTTTATCTCCCAGAAGGTCCAGTGATTTTGAATGACTATGATTTAACCAAACCTCATGAAACAGAAAATGTGGACAGTGTGGAAGGCCCAACCAATGAAGATGAAGATATAGGAGGTGAGCCATTGTGTACAGACTAAAAATTGTTATAGATATGGTTGATGATAAATATGTAGAAGAAATCAGGAACTCTCCAAGGAAAGTTTGCATTTGTCGGTTGAGTTGAGAGTAATTAAGTTTTGTTCATTTTACAAATATTAATATTTAATAATTTACTAGAGGATATCAGCAAACTTTGAGAATTTAAGGTGCTTATTCGGGGTTTAAGTTATACTAACTTCATTTTTTAAATGTTTGACTCTTTTCTATTGTAAAAATAATACATGTTCATTATAGGAATTGTGGGGTATATCCCAACATCAACAATCAATTCTCCAATTCTTCAACAATAACAGAGTGTCCCATAATTCAATTCAATTCTCATATTAACTCCTGGAATTAGCAAAAGACCCACAGGTTAAAGGCTCAGTTCCACAAGATTGTCCTCACTTCGACACCAGTTGAAACTACCAGGTCTCCATGTTACCTACACTTCTGTCCAGCTTGGCTGCAAATGCAGGGTTTTCCACATCCACCCCCCTCAGGTTTGATAAGTTGCTAGAATGACTCAGAGAATTTAGGAAAGCACTTTACTATTACTAGTTTGTTATAAAGGATACAATTCAAGAACAGCCAGATGGAAGAGATGCATAAGGCAAAGTATATTTAAGAGTTTTTATAGAGGTCAGTCTTCAGAATCCACCCAGTGTCCCCCAGTCACTTTGTCTTTCTGATGACCAACCCGTCCTGACTAGGGCCTTTACCCTAAGTCACTTCATTAGCATAAACTTAGGTGTGATTGAAAAGAGATTATTATAAATAACAAAAGATACTCCTATCAGGAGATTCCAAGGTTTGGGGGACTGTTGTGCCAGGAAACTGGGACAAAGACCAAATATATCTTTGTATTTTACCATAGACTACCCACTGGTCTTTGACCACAAATCTCTTATAGCAAAAGGATCATAGGGGCACCTGGGTGGCTCAGTCTGTTAAGAATCCAACTTTGGGGGCGCCTGGGTGGCTTAGTTGGTTAAGCGTCCAACTTTCGCTTAGGTCATGGTCTCGCGGTTCGTGGCGCGTCGGGCTCTGTGCTGACTGCCAGCTCAGAGCCTGGAGCCTGTTTCAGTCTGTGACTCCCTCTCTCTCTGACCCTCCCCTGCTCACGCTGTCTCTCTCTCTAGCTCTCCTAGGAATAAATAAAACATTAAAAAAAAAAAAAGAATCCAACTTTGGCTCAGGTCATGATCTCACAGATCGAGCCTTGCACCTGACTCTGTGCTGACAGCTTAGAGCCTGGAGCCTGCTTCAGATTCTGTGTGTGTGTCTCTCTTTCTGCCCCTCCCATGCTCACTCTCTGTTTCTCTCAAAAATAAATAAAACATTAAAATTTTTTAAAAAGGATCATAAAAGTCAAGATACTGGCACATTACTACAGTCACATTCAGTCATTAATAATTATTCCAGTCCATCACCATATCATTTGAAAATGCCTCCCAGGGTGAGGTCACTCAGGTTTACAGGCTTCCATTTGATTTTGTCAGGTTCCAAAATCAGGAGTGTTCTCAGAAATATATGGCTTCACCTTTTCAGCATCTGGTATAATTGAGCTGAGAGACAATCTTTATTAGTCTCTTGTTCTGAGCTTCTCTTGAGATTTTTTTTTTTTTTTATTTCTAGGATAGAGAGAGACAGCGTGAACAGGGGAGGGTCAGAGAGAGAGGGAGACACAGACTCTGAAACAGGCTCCAGGCTCTGAGCTGGCAGTCAGCACAGAGCCCGACGCGGGGCTCGAACCCACGAACCACGAGATCATGACCCAAGCGAAAGTCGGACGCCTAACCGACTAAGCCACCCAGGTGCCCCAGCTTCTCTTGAGATTTTAAATTAATTCTGGATTTCCCTTCATTACATAATCAATTGATTCATTTCTTTACCCTCAGCTACTATTCCTTCTTCTCTTCATCTACCTGAACTTTTCCACTTTTGGAAGGAACACGAAGTTTAGCTGCACTGCTAGTCTACATTGGAGATGACAATACTAGTATAGCATGTCCTCCCCCTCAATCCACTCCTGTTCATATAGGGTAGAGTTACTTAGGTACAGAACTAGCAAGCTATTTTTGCCACTAGGAGTATAGCTGCATTCACTGTTAACCTCAGTTTTGCCAAATGGATTAAAGGCACAACCTACCCTATCAGGCCTTTAAGAATTCTGACATGAAGGTTGAAAACTGTAGCTACTTGGGCAGCATGGGTGGCTCAGTTGGTTAAACGTCCAACTTCAGCTCAGGTCATGATCTTGCGATTCATGAGTTCGAGCCCTGCATCAGGCTCTGTGCTGATTGTTCAGAGCTTGGAGCCTGCTTCAAATTCTGTGTCTCCCTCTCTCTCTGCCCCTTCCCTGCTCATGCTCTCTCTCTCTGTTTCTCAAAAACAAATAAATGTTAAAATTAAACAAACAAACCTGTAGCTACAGTTTCTTGGTTAGGAATCATCTCTGTTTCTGGCATTCGTTGGAGCCCTGGATCTGTGACTACTGCATCAGATAGGAAAAAGAAAGTTAAGATGATATGGGGAAGAAAAAAAAGTATGGTCATGAAACCAGTGTTTTCTCCCCATGGGAAGAATTATAATCATACCAATATTTTCCCCTCATGGAAAAAAATTGCATAGTCACACTAGCATCCCCCCCCATCTTTCTTCCCCAGATCCCCCAGAAAAGAAGGAATCTATCAACAGAGACATTCTCTTAACCCTGCTCATGTTAAGTGTGAACACACATTCTTGAAGACCTGTAAACCAGCCCTTCATGCCTACACATTCCCCTGTTTCAAACAACCAGTGTTTCAGTTGCCTGTTCCAATTCTCTATGAAACTGTTCTTCTGAGGACGGTATCTCTCTGCCCATCATTTGACATTATGGGCCATAAAGTGTGTTCTTATCCTGAAGAAATGTGATTTGGTGATCCAAATTAGTGCAGTATCTTCTGATCTGGGTTGTAGGGCTTTTTTGTTTGTTCGGTTTTTTTGTTTTGTTTTGTTTTGTTTTTTAGTACCCTGTCCATTTACATCTACCACCAGGTAAGCAACACACAGTTCCGAGTCAATGCCTATTCTGTCAAAACCAATTTGTAGCCCCCCTGGGGCTACTGGCCACTCGCCAGCTGTGTGTAGGGCCTTACCTCTGAGAAATCTTCCCCATAGCCATAGGCAGCCTCTGTCTCTCTTGTTGGCAGATAGAACAGTTATTATTGGCATTTTGAAACTCAGAGAGTGCAAAAGGAATATGTCCAAATTCAGCCCTCTATATTACTGTGGTCCCCAAACGTCTACACCTTTCATGGACACCAGGTGGCCACTTCAAGTACACTGTGATTCCACTTGGTTCCAGTCACCTTACAAACCTGGAAGGGGATTCTTCTGAGGGGCTTCAACATGTCCTACTTTAATGCACTCCACAGATTCCCACAGTAATTTCCATATGGTCATGCCCTATATGGGCATCCCTTTAAAAGACCAGTTTTCAGGGCACCTGGCTGGTTTAATCAGTAGAGCATGTGACTCTTGATCTCAGGGTTGTGAGTTCGAGCCCCACACTGGGTGTAGAGATTACTTAAATAAATAATCCTTATAAATATCAATCAATCAATAACTGACTAGTTTTCCTTCTGCCTATCCATATGGCCTGGCCGCTAGCCATCACTCTTGAGTCAGGTAAAAACCAAAATGTAGAGGCTTTTGTCATTATTCAATTCTTCCATCACTACTAGGAAAACAGCATGTAATTCATCCCACTGAGCTGATTTGTTTTTACATCTTCAATCAGAGTGGTGGTCTTCCAAACAGGATATTGTTCATTTATCTTGGAACTGCTATCCAGCAGTTTTTTGTTGGTCAGTCAATAGCTGTTTATTGGTACTTCCAAGTAATCATAGAATCTGGCTGCCTCATACAGTTCCAAAGTCAGTCCTAGGAGAAAACAGGCTCACTGCTTGTCCTCCTCCTGCTTGCATTCCTCAGGTGGCATAATCCTGAATAAACTGTTTCCATTTTATTATGAAACTGCCCTGGGCATTGCCCTTCCAGAAGCATTAGAGCATTTCTGTGACATCACCTAAGACATCATGGGTATTCCAGATGTTAAGATTGTTTTTTCTGAAGTCATAGGGGCAGTTTCAGTTGCCTCTCAAATGGAATTCTTGATTTCATCATCCTAACCGTCATTGCTGGGAAGCACTTGTAGGCTTTTGCCATAAAGTCTAGTCTATGCTCCATATAGACCCATCACACACAATCTGTTCCTACCAGCACTGCAGCTTCTCTTCTACATTGTGGACTTGGGCAAGCTTATTCATTCCCATTTAGAATGTCCAATTAATAAGACAGATTTACATGCCTTCTGTTTTATGATTCCCTAGTCAGACACAATGTCCATGCCCGTAATACATGCATATATAAAAGATGCAGCCGCTTCAAACATACCAGCTTTCCTCCAGACTTTCACCTTAATCCTTCAACCCTTCCATACTTAACTGTAGCCTCCATTAGGACTTTATTAACAGGTTTTGGTTTCTAAAACAAAGTAAGGGAAATGTTCCGTAGTCAGACATAATATCCATTCCCATAACACTTTCAGGTAAAAGAGACACAACTTCTTTAATTTTTTTTAACATTTATTTATTTTTGAGACAGAGAGAGAGTACAAGCTGGGGAGGGGCAGAGAGAGAGGGAGACACAGAATCCGAAACAGGCTCCAGGCTCTGAGCTGTCAGCACAGAGCCTGATGTGGAGCTTGAACCCATGGACCACGAGATCATGACCTGAGCCAAAATCAGCCGCTTAACTGACTGAGCCATCTTGGTGCCCCTAGACACAACTTCTTTAAATGCATCCTATTTCTGGGGTGCCTGGGTGGCTCAGTCAGTTAAGCATCTGATTCTTGATTTTGGCTCAGGTCATGATCTCACAGTTCATGAGATAGAGCCTTACGTGGGTCTGCACTGAGGTCTGCACTG